TATACAGGTGTGGGAGGTCAGTAATACAGGTGTGACCAGCCATTTATGCAGATGTTGCAAGTCCTTTATACAGGAATTACAGCTCATCTATACAGGTGTGGGAGGTCAGTAATACAGGTGTGACCAGCCATTTATGCAGGTGTTGCAAGTCCTTTATACAGGAATTACAGCTCATCTATACAGGTGTGGGAGGTCAGTAATACAGGTGTGACCAGCGATTTATGCAGGTGTGGCAAGTCCTTTATACAGGAATTACAGCTCATTTATACAGGTGACCTAGTCAATTTATACCGGTTTAACAGGTTGTGTATACACATGTTCAAAGTCATTTATATAAGTGTCACAGCTCATTTGTACAGGTGTGACAGGTCATTTATACATGTGTGTCAACTCATTTATATAGGTGTGGCAGGTCATTTATAAAGGTGTGTCAACTCATTTACATAGGGTGGCAGGTAATTTATAAAGGTGTGTCAACTCATTTATACAGGTGTGACAGGTCATTTATAAAGGCGTATTAACTCATTTATATAGGTGTGGCAAGTCATTTATAAAGGCGTGTCAACTCATTTATATAGGTGTGGCAAGTCATTTATAAAGGTGTGTCAACTCATTTATATAGGTGTGGCAGGTCATTTATAAAGGTGTGTCAACTCATTTATACAGGTGTGACAGGTCATTTATAAAGGCGTATCAACTCATTTATATAGGTGTGGCAAGTCATTTATAAAGGCGTGTTAACTCATTTATATAGGTGTGGCAGGTCATTTATAAAGGGGTGTCAACTCATTTATATAGATGTGGCAGGGCATCTATACAGGTGTGGCACGTCATCTATAAAGGTACAAGATACAAGAAACTTTATTTAACGTCGCATACATGTAAACAAGGAACATTAGCTCTTGAGAGCTATTATTGCGACAAACATATGTAAAAATATCAATGACATATTATATTACAAGTGAAGGGAGATAATCACATATATTAATAATAAAACAGTAATAATCATCACAGAAAAAGAAATTATACATATCCCAGGTTTCTAAGTGATTGGGAGTCCCCTTCCTACAAAGACCCCCGGGATATATATATATAAATGGTGTTAATATATGAAAGGCATTAAATGTGATCACAGATAAGTAGTATCCAGAATAGGTAAATAATAGACATAGTTAATAGTGAATGAATACTTGTATATCACACAAGAATTACTTAGGACTTAGGTATGGCTGGTCATTTATATGGAGTATCAAATCATTTATACAGGTGTGATAATATCATTTATGTATGTGTTACTGATCATTTAAATAGGTGTGACAGGTCAGTTATACGCATATGACATGTCAATTATATAGATGTTACAGGTCATTTATACATGTGTGGCAGATCCTTTATACATGTGTGGCAGGTCATTTATACAGGTGTGGCGGGTCATTTATACAGGTGTGACAGGTCATGTATACAGGTGTGACAGTTCATTTATACAGGTGTGACAGGTCATTTATACATGTGTGGCAGGTCATGTATACAGGTGTGACAGTTCATTTATACAGGTGTGGTAGGTAATTTATACAGGTGTGACAGGTAATGTATACAGGTGTGACAGTTCATTTATACAGGTGAGACAGGTAATTTATACAGGTGTGACAGGTCATTTATACATGTGTGGCGGGTCATTTATACAGGTGTGGCGGGTCATTTATACAGGGGTGACAGGTCATGTATACAGGGGTGACAGTTCATTTATACAGGTGTGACAGGTCATTTATGCAGGTGTGGTAGGTCATTTATACAGGGGTGACAGGTCATTTATACAGGTGTGACAGGTCATTTATGCAGGTGTGGCAGGTCATTTATGCAGGTGTGGTAGGTCATTTATGCAGGGGTGGTAGGTCATTTATACAGGGGTGACAGGTCATTTATACAGGTGTGACAGGTCATGTATACAGGTGGGACAGTTCATTTATACAGGTGTGGTAGGTAATTTATACAGGGGTGACAGGTCATGTATACAGGGGTGACAGTTCATTTATACAGGTGTGACAGGTCATGTATACAGGTGTGACAGTTCATTTATACAGGTGTGACAGGTCATTTATGCAGGTGTGGTAGGTCATTTATGCAGGTGTGGTAGGTCATTTATACAGGTGTGACAGGTCATTTATACAGGTGTGGCAGGTCATGTATACAGGTGTGGTAGGTCATTTATACAGGTGTGACAGGTCATTTATACAGGTGTGGCAGGTCATGTATACAGGTGTGGTAGGTCATTTATGCAGGTGTGGTAGGTCATTTATACAGGTGTGGCAGGTCATTTATACAGGTGTAGCAGGTCATTTATATAGATGTTACAGGTCATTTATACAGGTGTGGTAGGTCATTTATACAGGTGACAGGTCATGTATACAATCTCGTGTTACAGTTTGTTTGTACAGGTGTGATGGGTCATTTATACAGGTGTGGCAGGTCATTTAACAGGTGTGACAGGTCATTTATGCAGGTGTGGCAAGTCCTCCGAAGCTAGAAGGCGGTTGTTACCTAATTATATGTACAATTAAGATCTGCAATTCAACTATACACTGCTATCCAGGTATTCATATCATCGATATACAATTTGTCACTATAATCATGTCCAGATTGTCGGGCTGTTGACCACTTTAACTTCGATACCTCGTTTTTTGAGGAGATCGACTGTGTCTGGACCGAGATGCGGATATTTCCCCGCTAGGTATATTGATGCCGATATTGAGAAACCCGAGGCCTGAACAGGGCACTAGTCACAAATTGTCTTTGTAAGTCTGTTGTGGTTCTATATATCACATAAGTAATGTAACGTTTACGTAGGTTACCTGTATACAATGTGGTAGAGATACACATGATTAAATCCCAATGTAGATTTCAGCATATAGGATACAACTGTTTATTGTTTTCTATTTCAGTATGCCAAGGTGCCGTGTCAACGTCCAGCTTATGCAGTAAGTACAGAATTATCAACAGAGGAAATGACTACTTACGATTATGTTACAGGATACAATGGCGTAGCCTCAATCGCTTTAGGCTTGTTTGAATTCAGATAATCCATTAATTATTAATCCACTTACACAAACAGGTAAACTGGTAACAATTGACATTTTGTCGGTGGTTGATTCGCGTCATTTCCTTCCTTCGTCAATACGGTAGAAGGACATCATCTGATACCTATCATCGTTCTTTGTCATTTTCGCCCTAAAATGATGACATTAGGTATATTTGTTTAACTTAACCCGCTATTCGACAACATAAATCTCCAATATGTCGGAAGAAATAGTGTCTTTTGATCCTTCTTATTTGGATAAAATGGGTCAAAAATATAGAAAAAAAAAATATTTTTAGTTCTTTTCTTTGTCACGTGATTACAGCGCAATTCCCATCATTTTGATACATGTAAGTGATTCCTATGGCAGTTAGTACACTAATACAGTAAGATTTATTCCCTAAATATGGATTAAACCTAAATAAATCAGTTTTGAAGCTAAATGTCCAAACTGTAAACAGATTTTGCATCATTTACGCCATACAAAACAAAGTCGTAAACAAGGATATTTTTCCCATCAATTTGAACTAAATGATTAACACCGATGACAAGCTTTGGTAGTGTTTAGAATATATATATTATCTAAGTAAAAATAGGGAAAATTGTACGCACACAGAGGACAGTATTGCGCACACAGAGGACCGTAGATCTTAGCACACACAGAGGACGGTAGATGTTATGCACGCATAGAGAACTTAGATGTTTTCGCACACTAAGGACCCCCCCTCCCCCCAAATGATGAAATAAAAATTACAGGGATTGACATCATATCTAGATAAGAATGACACCCACAGTGATGATATGCCATCGTTTGGAATGTAATTTTACTTTCTTTGGGAAAGTCATTTTTTACCGAGAGATGTGTTAGGTAGAGAGTACCAATCAGTTATATTCCAGAAAAATCACATGTTGTCATGCATTTGACAGAAGTGTGGTTGTTCGAAATTTGAATGTTTAAAAATAGAAATGAAAAAACAAAACAAGAAAAATACATTTGAACCTTAACATTATAAAGTCTACATTTGAACCTTAACATTACAAACTCTACATTTGAACCTTAACATTACAAAGTCTACATTTGAACCTTAACTTTACAAAGTCTACATTTGAACCTTAACATTACACACTCTACATTTGAACATTAACATTACAAAGTCTACATTTGAACCTTAACATTACAAAGTCTACATCTGAACCTTAACATTACAAAGTCTACATTTGAACCTTAACATTATAAAGTCTACATCTAAACCTTAACATTACAAAGTCTATATTTGAACCAATTTTGCCATGCAGGAATTATACAAAGGTACCATCGAAATGAGTGTCCAATTTATGGCCCACGAAGCATTAGGTAAAACTTGACAGAGGAAGTACATGTAACTCTTAGCCAGAAAAAAAATCCTTTTAGTTGCTTCATGTTTCTATATAGAAGGGAGAATACTCCCAAGTTAAAACGATCTCCTAGTGGAACTCTTCTATATAGAAGGGAGAATACTCCAAGTTAAAACAATCTCCGAGTGGAACTCCTCTATATAGAAGGAAGAATACTCCAAGTTAAAACGATCTCCGAGTGGAACTCCTCTATATAGAAGGGAGAATACTCCAAGTTAAAACAATCCCCGAGTGGAACTCTTCTATATAGAATACTCGAAGTTAAAACAATCTCCTGAGTGGAACTCTTTTCCGTGATTATATAAACTTATGGTACCAATTACCTTATTTAAAACCATAAATGACTCATATTTCTCTCTACACATCAGAATAAGTCTAAAAATATCAACTGTCACACATTATCTGATCCCTGTGTTTAAGAAAGGATTAAGGCGCCTGTGGGAATTCAATTAAATATTAGTTGCAAAATTCACACATACTACGAAAAGCTATGAATAAAGATATACTATTAGTTTTACCTCCGAAAATCCCAGACAAGGAAAATGGGTCAATGGGACTGGGAAAAAAAATTACACGGCGATATACATCATACATTGACATCGACGTAAGTTAGTAGGTGGCTTGCAGTGATTCATGGTTGTGTGTGGGTTATTTTTATAACAGATAATTTGTTTAAGTCCGTTTGCTCCCTTTTCTTCTTTCTTGGTTGGTTCAACAGACGTCTTCGGCGTACGAGGAGGAGATTTATGTAATTGTTAAGATGCCTTTGATTTTATTGTCTCAAAGAAACGCTACAGGTATAATTTAACATAAGTTTTCAATGAACTTAACACATACATCATTTTAATACCGTCGGTTTTATAAATCAAATCTCTTATTAGTACCATTTAACTAGGAAATATGTTTGATTATATTTTTACAGCAAAATCTTGCGAAAATGGAGGATACTGTACCTGGTCGGGAAATACAACGTACTGCGCATGTCCTGATCAATACTACGGTGACACGTGTGAGCTGATGTGTAACATGACCAAGTGCGCTGGTGGGCGGTGCATCATGTACATGAGTTCTTCCACATGTCTTTGTCCTGGGGGTTACATCGAACCTATGTGCACCACTAACTGTACCGACACGTAAGTCTGAACAACAATGTGCTTTCATTTAAATCTAAACACCTAGTTACACACACGTAGTCTAAACAACAACTGTCCAACACGTCAATCTAAAAAAACAGCTGTACCGACACGTAGGTCTATACAACAACTGTTCCGATACGTTAGTCTCAATGCCAGCTGTACCGACACGTAAGTTTAAACAACAACTGTTCCGACACGTAGGTCTATACAACAACTGTTCCGACACGTAAATCTAAACAACAACTGTTCCGACACGTAAATCTAAACAACAACTGTTCCGACACGTAGGTCTAAACAACAACTGTTCCGACACATAGGTCTATACAACAACTGTTCCGAACGTCTATACAACAACGGTACCGACACGTAAGTCTATACAACAACGGTACCGACACGTAAGTCTATACAACAACTGTACTGACACGTAAGTCTGAACAACAACGGTACCGACACGTTAGTCTGAATAACAACGGTACCGACACGTAAGTCTGAACAACATTGGTACCGACATTATAGTCAATACAACAACTGTACTGTCACTTTAGTTTAAACAAAAACAGTACTGACAAATAAAACTAAACAGCAACTGTACCGACATGCTAGTCTAAACAACAACTTACCGGCACGTAAGTCTGAACAACAATGGTACCGACACGTAAGTCTGATCAACAACTTTCCGACACGTAAGTCTGAACAACATTGGTACCGACATTATAGTCAATACAACAACTGTACTGTCACTTTAGTTTAAACAAAAACAGTACTGACAAATAAAACTAAACAGCAACTGTACCGACATGCTAGTCTAAACAGTTACTTTAGCTTAAACAAAAACTATACCGAATTATAAAATTAAACAACAACTTACCGGCAAGTAAGTCTAAACAACAACGGAACCGACACGGAAGTCTATACAACAGCGGTACCGACACGTAAGTCTAAACAGCAACGGTACCGACACGTAAGTCTAAACAACAACGGTACCGACACGTAAGTCTAAACAACAACTGTACCAACACGCAAGTCTAAAAAAACAACTGTACCGACACGTAGGTCTGAACAACAACGGTACCGACACGTAAGTCTAAACAACGACTTACCAACACGCAAGTCTAAAAAAACCACTGTATTGACATGAAAGTCTAAACAACAACTGGACCGACATGATAGTCTAAACAACAACGGTACCGACACGTAAGTCTAAACAACAACGGTACCGACACGCAAGTCTAAAAAAACAACTGTACCGACATAATATTCTATACAACAACTGTACTGTTACTTTAGTTTAAACAAAAACAGTACCGAATTATAAAATTAAACAACAACTTACCGGCACGTAAGTCTGAACAACAATGGTACCGACACGTAAGTCTGAACAACGACGGTACCGACATGATAGTCTATACAACAACTTACCGGCACGTAAGTCTAAACAACAACTTACCGGCACGTAAATCTAAACAACAAAGGTACCGACACGTAAGTCTAAATAACAATGGTACCGACACGTAAGTCTAAATAACAATGGTACCGACACATAAGTCTAAATAACAATGGTACCGGCACGTAAGTCTAAACAACAACTTACCGGCACGTAAATCTAAACAACAATGGTACCGACACGTAAGTCTAAATAACAACGGTACCGACACGTCAGCCTTATCAACACCTTACCAACACGCAAGTCTAAAAAATAACTGTACCGACATCATAGTCTATACAACAACTGTACCGATACGTTAGTCTTAACAACAACGGTACCGACACGTAAGTCTGATCAACAACTTTCCGACACGTAAGTCTGATCAACAACTTTCCGACACGTAAGTCTGAACAACAACTTTCCGACACGTAAGTCTGAACAACAACTGTACCAACATGATAGTATATACAACAACGGTACCGACACGTACGTCTTAACAACAGCTGTACCGACATGTAAATCTGAACAACAATGGTACCGGCATTATAGTCAATACAACAACTGTACTGATACGTTAGTTTAAACAAAAACAGTTCCGACATATAAAACTAAACAGCAACTGTACCGACATATAAAACTAAACAGCAACTGTACCAACATGATAGTCTAAACAACAACTTACCGGCTGGTAAGGCTAAACAACAACTTACCGGGACGTAAGTCTAAACAACAAATTACCGGCACGTAAGTCTAAACAACACCTTACCGGCACGTAAGTCTGAACAACAACTGTACCAACATGATAGTCTAAACAACCACTTACCGGCTGGTAAGTCTAAACAACAACGGTACCGACACTTAAGTCTATACAACAACGGTACCGACACGTCAGCCTTATCAACACCTTACCAACACGCAAGTCTAAAAAAACACTGTACCGACATGACAGTTTATACAACAACTGTACCGACACGTAAGTCTAGACAACAACGGTACCGACACTTAAGTCTATACAACAACGGTACCGACACTTAAGTCTATACAACAACGGTACCGACACGTAAGTCTAAACAACAACTTACCGGCACGTAAGTCTAAACAACAACTTACCGGCACGTCCGTCTTAACAACAACTTACCAACACGCAAGTCTAAAAAAAACACTGTACCGACATGACAGTTTATACAACAACTGTACCGACACGTAAGTCTAAACAACAACTGTACTGTCACTTTAGTTTAAACAAAAACAGTTCCGACATTTAAAACTAAACAACAACTTACCGGCACGTAAGTCTAAACAACAACGGTACCGACACGTAAGTCTAAACAACAGCTGTACCGATACGTTAGTCTAAACAACTGTTGTACCGACACGTAAGTCTAAATAACAATGGTACCGACACGTAAGTCTGAACAACAACGGTACCGACACGTAAGTCTTTACAACAGCTGTACCGATACGTTAGTCTAAACAACTGTTGTACCGACATGCTAGTCTAAACAACAACGGTACCGACACGTAAGTCTATACAACAACTTACCAACACGTAAGTCTTTACAACAGCTGTACCGATACGTTTGTCTAAACAACTGTTGTACCGACATGCAAGTCTAAACAACAACGGTACCGACACGTAAGTCTAAACAACAGCTGTACCGACACGTAAGTCTGATCAACAACTTTCCGACACGTAAGTCTGAACAACAACTATACCGACATGGTAGTCTTAACAACAGCTGTACCGACATGTACGTCTAAACAACAACTTTACCGACACGTAAGTCTATACAACAACTGTACCGACATGATAGTCCAAACAACAAATGTATCGACACGTAAGTTTAAACGACAATTTACCGACACGCAAGTCTGGAGAACAGCTTTACCGACACGGAAGTGTAAACAACAACTGATTGACTCATTTGTCCGAACATTAACTGCATATACTCGTTAGTCTGAACAATAACTGTATAGACTCGTTATTCCGAACAACTATTGAATTTAATTGTTCGTCTGAACAACTATTGTATTAACTCGTTAGTCCGAACAACAACTCTATAGACTCGTTAGGCCGAGCAATAACTGTATTGAAATATTATGTAAGTTTAGATAGACTCTCCGTGAAAAGAAATTACGATGTAAACGAAAATATAGGATATACATGATGATATTTGTTATAAGTTATAGCAAAGTGATGATTAACAATTGCTGTTGATTTTCACAATCCTGATACGTTTTATGTCTTTACTAATTGACAAACGATAATGTGCACCATGGACTAGTACTAGCAACCATCGCCAGAATGTCTGGTTGACAGTCGACTACCAACAGAAACGTCCTTAGCGTCTAAGGCCAGCAGGTGCCTGCCATCATGGCTTCAGTGTAGTACATGTTCATATAAATACTGTATATCTAACAACCAATAGTCTCCCATCAAGGTTTGAGAAGTTGTTAGACCGTGAAAACATCTTCAGGAGCGGGTCCAGGTGGGGGCGTAATGGGCGTACGCCCCCCACCCCCCTTTTCAAAATAAAAACACAAAAAAAACTATCGTAATCTGCTAATATTGTATTGAATATGGCAATTTATCATATTCATTAATTAAACACATAAACACCCTGACACTTTAACTATAAAATATACATGCTCCAAGTCAGGAACCGTCACATTAGTGCATTTCACAATTATTTTATGTTTTTTAGCAAAAAAAAGTTCCAAAATATTTTTCGCCTCGCTCCGCTCGGCAACAGATTTTATTCTACGCCCCCTCTTTCAAATAGTCTAGATACGCCCCTGATCTTGTACTCCCTGTTGGTGTGTACAGCATTTCAAGTTCAAGTTCCAAATTCAATAAGTTTCAGTAAAACAATTTAATAACCGGAATACAACGCCCCACATCAGAGTGATAACTGACATGCATCTCTCCGCAAGGGAAAAATAGAAAACCGCTAAAGATTTACATACTTTGATATTTTGAGCATAAAGTATACAGTTTTAGTTTTTTTCATAAGTTTTTTGCTCAAAAAGTCAAAAAAAAAATCGCAAAAACACTTTTAAATCGTTAAGCGTCATACAGACATTGACCTCGATGATAGATATCTAACTTTGGTATAACAATACAAGAAAATGACTGGTTTAAAAATATTGATCAATATTGATTAGTTTATTTGACTAATGACCTTTGGTCATCTATACCTTGTTTTGATTTTTAATATTTATAAAAAAATTAAAGAATGCGACTTGATTGAATTAACTTGCAAATGAATTTTGTTACAACTTTAAATTGTTAGAAGATTTGGAAATACATGTAAGAGGGTTGTCACATCTATCTTTATCGACAACTTATAAAACATATGACCTGGTAAATAAACTTCGTTTGGGTGTCACGTGACCATTTGTCTCTTGTTCTACATGTACTGAACTAACTTCAACTAGTTCTCTTAAATGCTTCAGTACATGTTAGAACCAACAACTCCAAACATGCTGTCTTCAGGTAAAGTAACTCTCCTTTTGTGTCTGAAGGTGCCTTATTTTATACACCCAGGTTTTGCCAGAACAACGGCACATGCTCCATCGATGTGGACGGGATGTTAATGTGCTATTGTATGGACGGGTTCACAGGATCGCGGTGTGAGGTTAACAACACCAGCATCGTATCGTGTTCCGGAACAAACTGCACGGGCGTTTTAACAAAACATTGTACCCTGGTTGAGGCTGGGGTCACGTGTCACTGCCGAGCAGATTTCACAGGTCTGGTATTTAAATAATTTTCTAACTTTCGATTATCATTAAAGTTACAAATCAGACAATTATCATAGGACAAAAATACCAGATTAATGGAAGGTAGATTTAAACCCCATCTCCAATGTTTCAGATCCGAAAAATGGGCAGTCTGAACTTTTCCTTACATTTACTCTAATAAATGACTATTGAAGGAATAACACGTTTGTTTCCTCGAACGATTTCTAATGAATCATGCGGCTCAGAGTCATACTATTAGGTTTGGTTTTGGTTTTTATATTGTTTAACGTCCTATTTATAGCTAAGGTAATTTAAGACTGTGCATACTAAAAGCTGTCCATATATACCATGTTGACCTTCAATCCAGATCACAGTGGTCAAATGTGATACAAATTAATACAAATGTCCCTCTCGTTACCCTGTTCTTATTTGACTTGTTTGTATTCGCAAAATCAAAGATGGACGTAATGGTCTAACATTACCAGGGACGTAATGGTTTAACATTACGAGGGACGTAACGGTCTAACATTACCAGGGAGGTAATGGTCTAACATTAACAGGGACGTAATCAGGGACGTAATGAATTTACGAAACCAGGGACGTAATGGTCTAACATTACCGGGAACGTAATCAGGGACGTAATGGTCTAACATTACCAGGGACGTAATGGTTTAACATTACCAGGGACGTTATGGTCTGACATTACCAGGGACGTAATGGTTTAACATTACCAGGGACGTAATGGTCTAACTATACCAGGGACGTAATGGTCTAACATTACCAGGGACGTAATGGTCTAATTTACCAGGGACGTAATGGTCTAACATTACCAGGGACGTTATGGTCTAACATTACCAGGGACGTAATGGTCTAACATTACCAGGGACGTAAACAGGGACGTAATGGTCTAACATTACCAGGGACGTAATGGTCTAACATCACCAGGGATGTAATGGTCTAACATTACCAGGGACGTAATGGTCTAACATTACCAGGGACGTAATGGTCTAACATTACCAGGGACGTAATGGTCTAACATTACCAGGGACGTAATGGTCTAACATTACCAGGGACGTAATGGTCTAACATTACCAGGGACGTAATGGTCTAACATTACCAGGGACGTAATGGTCTAACATTACCAGGGACGTAATGGTCTAACATTACCAGGGACGTAATGGTCTAACATTACCAGGGACGTAATGGTCTAACATTACCAGGGACGTAATGGTCTAACATTACCAGGGACGTAATGGTCTAACATTACCAGGGACGTAATGGTCTAACATTACCAGGGACGTAATGGTCTAACATTACCAGGGACGTAATGGTCTAACATTACCAGGGACGTAATGGTCTAACATTACCAGGGACGTAATGGTCTAACATTACCAGGGACGTAATGGTCTAACATTACCAGGGACGTAATGGTCTAACATTACCAGGGACGTAATGGTCTAACATTACCAGGGACGTAATGGTCTAACATTACCAGGGACGTAATGGTCTAACATTACCAGGGACGTAATGGTCTAACATTACCAGGGACGTAATGGTCTAACATTACCAGGGACGTAATGGTCTAACATTACCAGGGACGTAATGGTCTAACATTACCAGGGACGTAATGGTCTAACATTACCAGGGACGTAATGGTCTAACATTACCAGGGACGTAATGGTCTAACATTACCAGGGACGTAATGGTCTAACATTACCAGGGACGTAATGGTCTAACATTACCAGGGACGTAATGGTCTAACATTACCAGGGACGTAATGGTCTAACATTACCAGGGACGTAATGGTCTAACATTACCAGGGACGTAATGGTCTAACATTACCAGGGACGTAATGGTCTAACATTACCAGGGACGTAATGGTCTAACATTACCAGGGACGTAATGGTCTAACATTACCAGGGACGTAATGGTCTAACATTACCAGGGACGTAATGGTCTAACATTACCAGGGACGTAATGGTCTAACATTACCAGGGACGTAATGGTCTAACATTACCAGGGACGTAATGGTCTAACTTTACCAGGGACGTAATGGTCTAACATTACCAGGGACGTAATGGTCTAACATTACCAGGGACGTAATGGTCTAACATTACCAGGGACGTAATGGTCTAACATTACCAGGGACGTAATGGTCTAACATTACCAGGGACGTAATGGTCTAACATTACCAGGGACGTAATGGTCTAACATTACCAGGGACGTAATGGTCTAACATTACCAGGGACGTAATGGTCTAACATTACCAGGGACGTAATGGTCTAACATTACCAGGGACGTAATGGTCTAACATTACCAGGGACGTAATGGTCTAACATTACCAGGGACGTAATGGTCTAACATTACCAGGGACGTAATGGTCTAACATTACCAGGGACGTAATGGTCTAACATTACCAGGGACGTAATGGTCTAACATTACCAGGGACGTAATGGTCTAACATTACCAGGGACGTAAACAGGGACGTAATGGTCTAACATTACCAGGGACGTAATGGTCTAACATTACCAGGGACGTAATGGTCTAATATTACCAGGGACGTTTCGGTTTCTTCTCTCACTCAGACAGAAACTTGTAAACAATACTAGCCATTTGGGCCTTTTGTTTATGTTTTACTGCACTCCATTTTTATAATATATATATATGTATATATATAAATAAAAGACAAAGGTTTCTTTGACTTCTCTAGCGCTTTCTCCGCTTAAGAGGTTCATCAGGGGAATTAATAAATATATTTCTTTTGTATTCTTTCAGATCTTTAGACTTTGCCGTTCAAATAATATTTCAATTTTTTTTCTTTCCCAGGAACACATTGTGAAAGACGTAATTGTCTTAATGTTGATGTGAACAATTGTTCATCGACCGGAACCTGTAATTTTAACGACTTTCCGGGCGCCGTGAATGAGTGTTCCTGTATGCCTGGGTACACGGGGTCCAAGTGTGACTCGAATATTGACGATTGCGTGGGCGTCACGTGTGAAAATGGTGGAACCTGTATTGACGGGATTGGTATGTTATCATTGACTTTGAATTTGTATAATGTATATATCCAAATTCTGAATCTGGTAGTACCACGCAAAATCTATAAATGGGGAAAATAATGTTATAAATACTAGTAACATTGCTATATTTTTTCCAGCTTCGTTCAACTGCAGCTGCCCGTCGTTATATACCGGTGACTACTGCGAAAAGGCGGACTGTGTGGCGAGAGGATGTGCCAACTTGACCGGAAATGGAATGTGTGATGTAGGTAGAACCGGGTGCAGTAACATTTCAATTTACCCGTTAAATCCGAGCACTGCATGAATTATGTTTTGTTCGGATTTGAAAGTTCACAAAATACACATTACCGATATACACCGACACCTGTTTAAACCGAACAGCACAGGGACAGAAATAGCCGTTTGTAATAGACAGGTTATCCTGACGTGTGAATAATTATAACTAGACGTGTGTTTGTTTCCCTACCCAATACTATAAACATCATGTTCGTGGAGTTTCCACGTAAGACGTAGTTAAACGTAGAAGTAGTGTTGCATTCGCATATCCCGATTGAAACGTATGGCGCAGAAATAAACGCACTTAGACCGAACTGCAGGCAGAGCTAAAAAAAAAAATGCACAGTTTAGGACTTTTGGGGAAAATAAATAACAATTTTTCAAGAATAATATGTCCTTCTTTCAAGTGTCCATCAAATTTTATGTACATATCCTAAAATAGCCTAGGTGAATCGACCTTTTTTTATAAAGAGATCATGCAAACTAGCAATAGTCAGCATTTAAGTATCGGTCAGTCACGTCTGTATTCCTTAATCTGCACGTGCCGAATATTCCTGAAGTCAGCCTCAGTTCAGTTCTTTTTTCAGATTGAGCTGGTTCAAACGGTTGAACCGGATATGTAAGGGGCCTAGGATTCTTCCACAATGGCGGTATGATATGGCGTTCGATTTTGACGTCTCTGGGTAAACTTTATCGCAGATATACTTGGTCATCAGCTGGTGTTATACACCTGAAGTGTTACTATGAAGCAATTAAGTGTTACATAGACGCTGACACACATTTACAGAGCCGAGCTTCATTGAGACAAGCAAAGCAGACTTAGTATCTTATATACCTTTACATATATAATTTAAACTTCATTAACCAAGTCATGACCTGCCGTTTCTTTAAGGAAATATCCTACTGGCATTCACTTTGACGAAACTTTTGATCAAACATCAGATCATGTTTATTTGAACGAGAGTTGTCGTATAAGTTGTATCAGTTAAGCATCATGTAATATAAGCTGTTTAAGATAGTTTAGAGAATATCGACTACCAGATTGTAACATTTAAGGCCGGGTCAGCCGTTCATTAGTTATTTCGAGGGAAAACATCAGAATAACATGATTTTGTGCGCTTACCTATACCTTAACCTTGTGGTACGGACTTGAGGGTTGTTTAACAACACACTGACTAGTCATATTTCACCTACATGTGATATTTCATTTCTAAAATATTGAGCCATTCAGTTGTTATTTTGCGTGATGGTTTTACATGTTTCCTTTACCTTCAGTTGAGAGTCACGAAAGAGGTATGCATCATACCGTCTTGCTTTGAAACATACCTTTTTTTTTATCAAAACTGTAAAGAATATTACCACTCGGCGGGTATAGTCCGGAAACGAAATCAAAGGACCTTCGGACAAGTGTTAAACGTTTACAGTCGTCTTTTCAAGTGATGCTTACACTAATAAACGTACTTTTTTATCTTCAGACTGAGTGTATGTTTATGGAGTGTAATTACGACGGGTTGGAGTGCTCCCTCGGTGTCAACCCCTGGTTTGACTGTAAAGTGATGCCGTCCACCAGAGGGAGACATTGCTCCGTGTTGTTCATGGACGGCGTTTGTGATCCGGAGTGTAATACCAATGGCTGTCTGTATGACGGGTTCGATTGTGTAAATAATGGCACCATGCTAGCCGATTGTTTCAATACCTCTCACTGCTTTGAGAGTATTGGAAACAATGTGTGTGATGTCGAGTGTAACAACCTGGAATGTGCTTATGACGGCCAAGACTGTGCTAGTACCTCCACCACGAACCAGAAAACATTGGTCCTCACTTTCACCCCCATGAACGCTTCCTTCGGCAGGCTCGCAGAGGCGCGTTTGGTTGCCTTCCAACTGTCGCAGAAACTGCGATCAAGAGTATACATCAGACAAAACAATGGCAGCGACAACATGGTGTACAGGATAGATAATTCATCTGATTCAAACATCAGGTAAGCCTCCCACTTCCACGTCGAAAATAACAATTACCCCACCGTTTGTATATACTTCCGTTGTGAAGTCAATATAATTTAAATTTTATACGGGTCTTCATTGGACAAAGTGGCATTGTTTGTCATTTCCAAACACAGATAAGTTTCCATAAATAATGTTTCGATTGAATGAAACCTTTTTTAATGGGTCTAATCATTTGTCCGATGACAAGCATGATGACATGATGGCCATATTGTAATATTTTCCGACACCGTCTTGATGGTTTGTATATATCGCCGAACGGCTATCATTGGTCAAGCGGAGTAATGAAATGTAAAGAATCTTTAATTTTGATCAAAAGCAATGAAAATTCATGATTTTTGTTTTCACTCAGCTACACAAATGTGTGGAGAAAGAGGACATACAACCAGTCCGATCGGGAATCGTCGGCATTTTCCGTAAACGAGAAAATATTTTTTACTGCTATTTTCTCGTTTACGGAAAATACCGACGGTTCCCGATTGACAAACAATCATGGTGAATATCCACAGAGCTTTTGAAAGAAAATGCACGCCTTAGATTGTCTGCATGTAATCTGTATACAACACCATTAATAGAGGAAGGGATTCGTAACAGGCGTAAAAATGATACAGAGTAAAGTTGTGTTTCTGTTTCATCGCGTAAGAAGATATCATGAACTTTCTTGACTTCGAAGGAATTAACCTTAGTGTATCTAAGTTAACATAACTACAAAGTAGTTATATTGATAAAGAAATCTGTATGTTGGGAAATATTTGCTAGTCGCAAGTGAGTGTAGATTTAAAGTTTGAAATACTGATGTTCTGTACTACTTTTTGTTTAACGTATTCTTGGTAAATAAACCGATAAGTCGACAGACTAAAGGTTAATAAAGAACTCCTACTTGTACAATTCAATGCGATTATCGTTCGATTCATTTCAGGTATGTAGGACTGGTTTACAAAATTCTGAACGTTAATTTTTGTATATTTAGACATGTCTTACATGCCAACAATTATGTTTGTGATACATTGTAGAGCTTACTACGACATTGAGCAACCGTCTAACTGTACCGTGGCTGGGTCGTGTGTGACGGACGTACAGACCGCGGCCAAGATGGTGGCAGCTGTTGTGTGGATGTACGAGCGGTCTCCTAAAACACGATTAACAATCTTCAAGAGTGTCACCAGTAAGTCATAACTGTAGAAACTCAACTATTCAAGCGTCTCACTTGTGATAAATAAACGCGCATGTTACATGCGATTATTACAGGGACATGTCACGTGTGATGAAATGTGAATACACAGGCATATCACGTGTGATATAATGGGATCGCACAGGTATGTCACGTGTGATAAAATGTAAAAACACAGGTTTGTCACGTGTGATAAATAAACGTGCATGTAACGTTTGATGAAATGTGAATACACAGGCATATCACGTGCGATTTAAAGTGAATACACAGGCATATCATGTGCGATTTAAAGTGAATACACAGGCATATCACGTGTGATAAAATGTGAATAAGCATGTAATGATCAGGTGATGTAATGTGAATACACAGTCCATTCACTTGTGATGTAATGTGAATACACAGTCCATTCACTTGTGATTTACTGTGAATACACAGTCAATTCACGAGTGTAGTAATGTGAAAACACAGTCCATTCACGAGTAATTTTCAAGGAATTTACAGACAATTCACGTGTTATGTAATGTGAATACACAAGCTTTTCACGTGTAATGAAATTTGAATACACAAGCTTTTCACGTGTGATGTAATTTGAAAACACAGTGAATTTACGTGTGATGTACTGTGAATACACAGTCGATTCACGAGTGATGTAATGTGAAAACACAGTCAATTCACTAGTGATGTACTGTGAATAAACAGTCAATTCACAAGTGATGTACTGTGAATACACAGTCAATAGACATGTGATTTAATGTGAAAACACAGTCAATTAACGAGTGATGTAATGTGAAAACACAGTCCATTCACGTGTGATTTCATGTGAATACACAATCAATTCACGAGTGATATAATGTGAATACACAAACATAAAACGTGTTATGAATATACGTGCTTGTTACGTACGAAGAATGTGAAGACACAGGCACGACACGTTCGATGTAATGTGAACACACTCATGTCATGGTTGATGCAATGTGAATACACAGTCATTTTACATGCTATGTAATGTGAATACACAAGCTTTTCACGTGTGATGTAATTTGAAAACACAGTGAATTTACGTGTGATGTAATGTGATTACACAGTCAATTCAAGAGTGATGTACTGTGAATACACAGTCGATTCACAAGTGATGTACTGTGAATACACAGTCTATACACAAGTGATGTAATGTGAAAACACAGTCAATTCACGAGTGATGTAATGTGAAAACACAGTCAATTCACGAGTGATATAATGTGAATACACAGTCCATTCACGTGTGATGTAATGTGAATACACAGTCAATTCACAAGTGATGTACTGTAAATACACAGTTCATTCACGAGTTATATAATGTGAATACACAGTCAATTCACGAGTGATATAATGTGAATATACAGTCCATTCACGTGTGATGTAATGTGAATACACAGTCAATTAACGGGTGATGTACTGTGAATACACAGTCAATTCACGGGTGATGTACTGTGAATACAGTCAATTCACAAGTGATAAAATGTGAAAACACAGTCCATTCACGTGTGTTGTACTGTGAATACAGTCAATTCACGAGTGATATAATGTGAACACACAGTCAATTTATGAGTGATATAATGTGAATACGGAGTCAATTCACTAGTGATGAAATGTGAATACACAGTCAATTCACGAGTGATTTACTGTGAAAACACAGTCAATTCACGTGTTATGTAATGTAAATACATAAGCTTTTCACGTGTTATGTAATTTGAATACACAAGCTTTTCACGTGTGATGTAATGTGAAAAAACAGTGAATTTACGTGTGATGTAATTTGAATACACAAGCTTTTCACGAGTGATGTAATGTGAAAACAGTCCATTCACGAGTGATTTAATGTGAAAACACAGTCCATTCACGAGTGTTGTACTGTGAATACACAGACAATTCACGTGTTATGTAATGTGAATACACAGTCATGCGTGATGTTATGTGAATACACAGGCATGTCCCGTATGATATCATAAATTTACTTACGTGTATAACGTGATGTTGTGTAAATACTGAATTATGGCAATGTGGTTGTACCCTTGTAGCCTGCACAGAGGGTTACCAGTATTCAAATGGAAACTGTAACAGCACTTGCAATATCGGCTGTCAATCAACTTGTAATTTTGAGACCGGAAGTTGTGTGAACTGTATGGACAGCTATGTTGGGAACACGTGTGACGTAAAGTGCAGCTCGAACTGCGCTAGAACGTGTAACGCCACACAATGTATCGGGGGATGTCAAAGAGGCTATATTGGTGACAAATGTGATCAAGGTATGTCACCCGAAGCAACAGCTCTATTGATCTATGAATTCTTTATTTCTGCTTATTTCTATTGCTTTTGTATGTAGCCTCTGACATATCACAGTTAAAACAGATGTTTTGTCACGAAAAACCTAATACGGGGTGTTTCAGTCTTACCGGCGTAAAAGCTTCTCTTCCCTTAAATATCGAACCAATAACAGAAGTGTTCTGCCGTTTCTCCAGAAAAGCTGCTGTTTCAATGACGTGTAAAACAGTGTAATATGTTTCAGCTTGCTCTACGGGGACGTACGGAACCAACTGTAGCATGACGTGTTCCGACTGTGCTAACGATAACTGTACAAACACGGATGGCACCTGTAAACAGGGCTGTAAGAATAAAGGTCGAAAAGGAACACAATGTACCGAAAGTAAGTATATTTGTCAGTCTCATACTGTAACGAAAGCTAGCATAGTGGTCATTCTCGTACTGTACCGACAGTAAGTATAGTGGTCAGTCTCATTCTGTAACGACAGTATGTATAGTGGTCAGTATGATACTGTACCGACAGTAAGTATAGTGGTCAGTCTCATACTGTAACGAAAGCTAGCATAGTGGTCAGTCTCGTACTGTACCGACAGTAAGTAAAGGTGGTCAGTCTCATTCTGTAACGACAGTAAGTACAGTGGTCAGTCTGGTAATGTACCGACAGTAAGTATAATGGTCAGTCTGATACTATACCGACAGTAAGTATAATGGTCAGTCTGATACTATACCTACAGTAAGTATAGTGGTCAGTCTCATTCTGTAACGACAGTATATATAGTGGTCAGTATGATACTGTAACGACATTTAGTATACTGGTCAGCAGTGGCGGATCCAGAGGGGTTTTTTGGGCTTCAGGAAACCCCCCCAACCTGAGAATTTTCTTTAAAAATCATATTTTTTCACCATTTTCCTCAATTTTTTCCAACATGAAACCCCCCCCCCCCAGGAAATTTGAAAACCCCCCAGATAAGTCTCTGGATCCGCCACTGGTCAGTCTGGTACTATACCGACAGTAAGGATAGTGATCAGTCTCGTACTATATGGACAGAAAGTATAGTGATCAGTCTCATACTATACCGACGGTAAGTATAGTGGTCAGTCTGGTACTATACCGACAGTAAGTATAGTGGTCAGTCTGATACTAGTCCGACAGTAAGTATAGTGGTCCGTCTGATACTATACCGACAGTAAGTATAGTGGTCAGTCTGGTACTTTACCGATAGGAACTAAAGTGGTCAGTCTCATTCTGTAACGACAGTATGTATAGTGGTCAGTATGATACTGTACCGACATTAAGTATAGTAGTCAGTCTCATTCTGTAACGACAGTATGTATAGTGGGCAGTCTGATACTATACCGACAGTAAGGATAGTGGTCAGTCTGGTACTTTACCGATAGGAACTAAAGTGGTCAGTCTCATTCTGTAACGACAGGATGTATAGTGGTCAGTCTGATACTATACCGACAGTAAGTATAGTGGTCAGTCTCATTCTGTAACGACAGTAAGTATAGTGGTCAGTCTGGTACTTTACCGACAGTAAGTATAGAGATCAGTCCCGTACAATACCGACAGTAAGTATAGTGGTCAGTCTGGCACTATACCGACAGTAACTATAGTGGTCAGTCTCATTCTGTAACGACAATATGTATAGTGGTCTGTCTGATACTATACCGACAGTAAGTATAGTGGTTAGTCTGGTACTTTACCGACAGGAACTATAGTGGTCAGTCTCATTCTGTAACAAAAGTATGTATAGTGGTCAGTATGATACTGTACCGACATTAAGTATAGTAGTCAGTCTCATTCTGTAACGACAGTTAGTATAGTGGTCAGTCTCATTCTGTAACGACAGTTAGAATAGTGGTCAGTATGGTACTGTACCGACAGTAAGTATAGTGGTCAGTCTGGTACTATACCGACAGTAAGTATAGTGGTCAGTCTCGTACTGTACCGACAGTAAGTATAGTAGTCAGTCTCATTCTGTAACGACAGTAAGTATAGTGGTCAATTTGGTACTATATCGACAGTAAGTATAGTGATCAGTCTCGTACCATACCGACAGTAAGTATAGTGGTCAGTCTGGCACTATACTGACGGTAACTATAGTGGTCAGTCTCATTCGTTAACGACAATATGTATAGTGGTCAGTATGATACTGTACCGACAGTAAGTATAGTGGTCAGTCTCATTCTGTAACGACAGTTAGTATAGTGGTCAGTCTCATTCTGTAACGACAGTAAGTATAGTGGTCAGTCTGGCACTATACTGACAGTAACTATAGTGTTCAGTCTCATTCTGTAACGACAGTATGTATAGTGGTCAGTATGATACTATACCGACAGTAAGTATAGTGGTCAGTCTCATTCTGTACCGACAGTTAGTATAGTGGTCAGTCTCATTCTGTAACGACAGTTAGTATAGTGGTCAGTCTCATTCTGTACCGACAGTTAGTATAGTGGTCAGTCTGGTACTATACCGACAGTAAATATAGTGATCAGTCTCGTACTATACCGACAGTAAGTATAGTGGTCAGTCTGATACTATACCGACAGTAACTATAGTGGTCAGTCTCATTCTGTAACGACAGTATGTATAGTGGTCAGTCTGATACTATACCGACAGTAAGTATAGTGGTGAGTCTGGTACTTCACCGACAGGAACTATAGTGGTCAGTCTCATTCTGTAACGACAGTATGTATAGTGGTCAGTATGATACTGTACCGACAGTAAGTATAGTGGTCAGTCTCATTCTGTACCGACAGTTAGTATAGTGGTCAGTCTCATTCTGTAACGACAGTTAGTATAGTGGTCAGTCTCATTCTGTACCGACAGTTAGTATAGTGGTCAGTCTGGTACTATACCGACAGTAAATATAGTGATCAGTCTCGTACTATACCGACAGTAAGTATAGTGGTCAGTCTGATACTATACCGACAGTAACTATAGTGGTCAGTCTCATTCTGTAACGACAGTATGTATAGTGGTCAGTCTGATACTATACCGACAGTAAGTATAGTGGTGAGTCTGGTACTTCACCGACAGGAACTATAGTGGTCAGTCTCATTCTGTAACGACAGTATGTATAGTGGTCAGTATGATACTGTACCGACAGTAAGTATAGTGGTCAGTCTCATTCTGTACCGACAGTTAGTATAGTGGTCAGTCTCATTCTGTAACGACAGTTAGTATAGTGGTCAGTCTCATTCTGTACCGACAGTTAGTATAGTGGTCAGTCTGGTACTATACCGACAGTAAATATAGTGATCAGTCTCGTACTATACCGACAGTAAGTATAGTGGTCAGTCTGATACTATACCGACAGTAACTATAGTGGTCAGTCTCATTCTGTAACGACAGTATGTATAGTGGTCAGTCTGATACTATACCGACAGTAAGTATAGTGGTGAGTCTGGTACTTCACCGACAGGAACTATAGTGGTCAGTCTCATTCTGTAACGACAGTATGTATAGTGGTCAGTATGATACTGTACCGACAGTAAGTATAGTGGTCAGTCTCATTCTGTAACGACAGTTAGTATAGTGGTCAGTCTCATTCTGTAACGACAGTTAGTATAGTAGTCAGTCTCATTCTGTAACGACAGTTAGTATAGTGGTCAGTATGATACTGTACTGACAGTAAGTATAGTGGTAAGTCTTATTCTGTACCGACAGTTAGTATAGTGGTCAGTCTCATTCTGTAACGACAGTAAGTATAGGGGTCAGTCTCATTCTGTAACGACAGTAAGTATAGTGGTCAGTCTCATTCTGTAACGACAGTTAGTAAAGTGGTCAGTCTCATTCTGTACCGACAGTAAGTATAGTGGGTAGTCTCATTCTGTACCGACAGTTAGTATAGTGGTCAGTCTCATTCTGTAACGACAGTAAGTATAGTGGTCAGTCTCGTACTCTACCGATAGTAAGTATAGTGGTCAGTCTTGTACGGTACTGACAGTTACCAACAGCTAGTATATTGGTAAGTCTCGTATTGTACCAACAGCTAGTATGGGGGTCAGTACCGTACTGTACCGACAGCTAGTATTGTGGTCAGTCTCATACTGTACAGACAGTAAGTGTAGCGGTCAGTTTCATAATGAACCAACAGCTAGTATGGTGGTCAGTCTCGTACTGTACCTACAGTTAGTATAGTGGTCAGTCTCATTCTGTAACGACAGTTAGTATAGTGGTCAGTCTCATTCTGTAACGACAGTAAGTATAGTGGTCAGTATGATACTGTACCGACAGTAAGTATAGTGGTCAGTCTCATTCTGTACCGACAGTTAGTATAGTGGCCAGTCTCATTCTGTAACGACAGTAAGTATAGTGGTCAGTATGATACTGTACCGACAGTAAGTATAGTGGTCAGTCTCATTCTGTAACGACAGTTAGAATAGTGGTCAGTATGGTACTGTACCGACAGTAAGTATAGTCGTCAGTCTGGTACTATACCGACAGTAAGTATAGTGGTCAGTCTCGTACTGTACCGACAGTAAGTATAGTAGTCAGTCTCATTCGGTAACGACAGTAAGTATAGTGGTCAATTTGGTACTATATCGACAATAAGTATAGTGATCAGTCTCGTACCATACCGACAGTAAGTATAGTGGTCAGTCTGGCACTATACTGACAGTAACTATAGTGGTCAGTCTCATTCGTTAACGACAATATGTATAGTGGTCAGTATGATACTGTACCGACAGTAAGTATAGTGGTCAGTCTCATTCTGTAACGACAGTTAGTATAGTGGTCAGTCTCATTCTGTAACGACAGTAAGTATAGTGGTCAGTCTGGCACTATACTGACAGTAACTATAGTGTTCAGTCTCATTCTGTAACGACAGTATGTATAGTGGTCAGTATGATACTATACCGACAGTAAGTATAGTGGTCAGTCTCATTCTGTACCGACAGTTAGTATAGTGGTCAGTCTCATTCTGTAACGACAGTTAGTATAGTGGTCAGTCTCATTCTGTACCGACAGTTAGTATAGTGGTCAGTCTGGTACTATACCGACAGTAAATATAGTGATCAGTCTCGTACTATACCGACAGTAAGTATAGTGGTCAGTCTGATACTATACCGACAGTAACTATAGTGGTCAGTCTCATTCTGTAACGACAGTATGTATAGTGGTCAGTCTGATACTATACCGACAGTAAGTATAGTGGTGAGTCTGGTACTTCACCGACAGGAACTATAGTGGTCAGTCTCATTCTGTAACGACAGTATGTATAGTGGTCAGTATGATACTGTACCGACAGTAAGTATAGTGGTCAGTCTCATTCTGTAACGACAGTTAGTATAGTGGTCAGTCTGATACTGTACTGACAGTAAGTATAGTGGTAAGTCTTATTCTGTACCGACAGTTAGTATAGTGGTCAGTCTCATTCTGTAACGACAGTAAGTATAGGGGTCAGTCTCATTCTGTAACGACAGTAAGTATAGTGGTCAGTCTCATTCTGTAACGACAGTTAGTAAAGTGGTCAGTCTCATTCTGTACCGACAGTAAGTATAGTGGGTAGTCTCATTCTGTACCGACAGTTAGTATAGTGGTCAGTCTCATTCTGTAACGACAGTAAGTATAGTGGTCAGTCTCGTACTCTACCGATAGTAAGTATAGTGGTCAGTCTTGTACGGTACTGACAGTTACCAACAGCTAGTATATTGGTAAGTCTCGTATTGTACCAACAGCTAGTATGGGGGTCAGTACCGTACTGTACCGACAGCTAGTATTGTGGTCAGTCTCATACTGTACAGACAGTAAGTGTAGTGGTCAGTTTCATAATGAACCAACAGCTAGTATGGTGGTCAGTCTCGTACTGTACCTACAGTTAGTATAGTAGTCAGTTACATAATGAACCAACAACTAGCGTATTGGTCAGTCTCGTACTGTACCAACAGCTAGTATGGTGGTCAGTCTCATACTGTACAGACAGTAAGTATTGTGGTCAGTCTCGTACTGTACAGACATTAAGTATTGTGGTCAGTCTCATACTGTACCGACAATGAGTATAGTGGTCAGTCTCATACTGTACCGATAGTTAGTATAGTGGTCAGTCTCGTACGTTACAGACAGCAAGTATAGTGGTCAGTTTCATACTGAACCAACAGCTAGTATATTGGTCAGTCTCGTACTGTATCAACAGCTAATATGGTGACCAGTATCTAACTGTACCGACAGGTGGTATTGTGGTCAGTCTCGTACTCGTACTATTTAAACCATTTTTACGTGTTTCCTTTTAACGCTTACCTATTTTACTTGTACTGTTTAAACGTTTTATGTGTTTCCCTGTAACGCTATCTACCTCACTTGTACTATTTAAACGTTTTGTGTGTTTTCCTGTTACGCTAACCTATTTCCTCTGTACTGTTTAAACATTTATGTGTTCCCCTGTAACGCTTTAAATGTTTTATCTGTTTCCCCGTAACGCTGACCAACTTCACATGTACTGTATTAAACGTTTTATGTGTGTTCCCTGTAACGCTGACCAACTTCACATGTTCTGTATTAAATGTTTATGTGTTTGTCTGTAAAGTTAACCTATTTCACCTGTACTGTTTAAACGTTTCATGTGTTTCCCTATTTACCTAAGGGCCAAGTGAGCTTATGGCATGGTGCGGCGTCCGTCGTCCGTCGTCCGTCCGGCGTCAACTTTTTACTTTACACAACTTCTTCTCAATAACCAAAAGGCCTATGGAACTGATATTAGGCCTGTAGCATGTTAGGATAAAGGGCTACCAAGTTGGTTTAAATGAATTACCTTGACTTACTTTCAAGGTCACAGGGGTCAAATGTCGTAAAATCTTCAAATGACCTCTTCTCAATAACCAAAAGGCCCAGGGTACTGATATTGGGCCTGTAGAATGCTGAGATAAATGACTGCAAGTTTGTCCAAATGAATTACCTTGACCCACTTTCAAGGTCACAGGGGTCAAATGTCTTAAAATCTTCAAACGACTTCTCAATAACCAAAAGGCCCAGGATACTGATATTGGGCCAGTAGCATGCTGGGATGAAGGGCCACCAAGTGTGTTCAAATGAATTACCTTGACCCACTTTCAAGGTCACAGGGGCCAAATATGTTAAAACCTTCAAACGGCTTCTTCTCAATAACCAAAGGCCCAGGATACCGATATTGGGCCAGTAGCGTGCTGGGATGAAGGGTCACCAAGTGTGTTCAAATGAATTACCTTGACCCACTTTCAAGGTCACAGGGGTCAAATATGTTAAAATTTTCAAATGACTTCTTCTCAATAACCAAAAAGCCCAGGGTACTGATATTGGGCGAGAAGAATGCTGGGATAAATGACTGCAAGTTTGTCCAAATGAATGACCTTGACCCACTTTCAAGGTCACAGGGGTCAAATATGTTAAAACCTTCAAACGACTTCTTCTCAATAACCAAAAGGCCCAGGGTACTGAAATTGGGCCTGTAGCATGCCGGGAGGAAGGGCTGCCAAGTTTATTCAAATGAATGACCTTGACCCACTTTCAACCTAATGTCCTTGTTCGACATTCAAGGTCACAGGCGTCATATGTTTAAATCTTTTAATAGGTTCTAATGAATCAAACACTTACATTCTGCCTGTAGCTATTTTAGTCCACTTTAAGATTACAAGTGTGAGATTAATACCAGGTCAGCGATGCAGGCCCATTGGGCCTCTTGTTCACTCGAACTGTTTAAACGTTTTGTGCGTTTCCCTGTCACGCTTACCAACTTCACCTGTAATGTATACACGTTTTATGCGTTGCCCTGTTAAGTTAACCTATTTCACCTGTACTGTTTAAACGTTTCATGTGTTTCCCTGTTTACCTTTTTCACTCGTACTGTTTAAGCGGTTTGTGTGTTTCCCTGTAACGCTTACATATTTTACTCGTACTGTTTAAACGGTGTTGTTTTTTTCCCCCTATAACGCTTACCTATTTCACATGTACTATATAAACGTTTTATGCGTTTTCCTGTAAAGTATATACTGTTTAAACGTTTTGTGTATTTCCCTGTAACTCTTACTTATTTCACTTGTACTGTTTAACCATGTTCTGTTCTGTATTTTCCTGTAACGCTTACCTATATCACCTATAATGTTTAAACGTTTTGTGAGTTACCCTGTAACTCTTACTTATTTCACTTTTACTGTTTTTAAATTTTATGTGTTTCCATGTAACGCTTTAATCGTTTTATTTGTTTCCCTGTAAAGTTTACCTATTTCACATGTACTGTTTCAACGTTTTGTGTGTTTCCATGTAACTCTTACTTATTTCACTTGTACTGATTAAACGTTTTGTGTGTTTCCATGTAACGCTTTAATCGTTTGATGTGTTTCCCTGTTAAGTTAACCTTTTTCACATGTACTGTTTAAACGTTTTATTTGTTTCCCTGTCACGTTTACCTACTTTACATGTACTGTTTAAACGTTCCTGTGACCATACTACTGTTCCAACCATTAAATAGTTTTTTTCTGCAACGCTAAATGCTGTTTCGTGCCCGCTGTTTAATTTTGTTCGGTGCATTAGACTGCTTCGTTTATTTGTAGTAATTTTGCTGATTGATTTTACAGACTGTGCGTCGGGGAATTATGGTGAAAACTGTGGCATGTCTTGCTCGACGAACTGCCTTAACAAGAAGTGTGACAGGGTAACTGGCAACTGTACAGGGCTGTGTCCTACCAACAAGTGGGGAAATACATGTAACGAAGGTAGGGTAAATACATGTAACCAATGTAACTGTTATACCAACAAGTGGGGAAATATATGTAACGAAGGTAGGGGAAATACATGTAACCAAGGTAACTGTTATACCAACAAGTGGGGAAATACATATAACCAAGGTAACTGTTTGCAAACAAGTTGGGAAATACATGTAACTAAGGTAACTGTTATACCAACAAGTGGGGAAATACATATAACCAAGATAACTGTTATACCAACAAGTGGGGAAATACATATAATCAAGGTAACTGTTTGCAAACAAGTTGGGAAATACATATAACCAAGGTAACTGTTATACTAACAAGTGGGGAAATACATGTAACGAAGGTAGGGGAAAAACATGTAACCATGGTAACTGTTATAACAACAAGTGGGGAAATACATATAACCAAGGTAACTGTTATACCAACAAGTTGGGAAATACATGTAACCAAGGTAACTGTAATACCAACAAGTTGGGAAATACATGTAACCAAGGTAACTGTTATACCAACAAGTAGGGAAATACATGTAAACAAGGTTACTGTTATACCAACAAGTGGGGAAATGCATGTAACCAAGGTTACTGTTATACCAACAAGTTGGGAAATGCATGTAACCAAGGTAACTGTTATACCAACAAGTGGGGAAATGCATGTAACCAAGGTTACTGTTATACCAACAAGTTGGGAAATATATGTTACCAAGGTAACTGTTTTACCAACAAGTGGGGAAATACATGTTAACGAGGTTACTGTTATACCAACGAGTTGGGAAATACATGTTACCAAGGTAACTGTTTTACCTACAGGTTGGGAAATATATGTTACACCAAGGTAGCTGTTTTACCAACAAGTGGGCAAATACATGTAACTAAGGTAACTGTTTTACCAACAAGTGGGCAAATACATGTAACTAAGGTAAATGTCCAAACAACAAGTGGGCAAATACATGTAACCAATGTAACTGTCCTAACAACAAGTGGGCAAATACATGTAACCAATGTAACTGTCCTAACAACAAATGGGCAAATACATGTAACTAAGGTAACTGTTTAAACAACAAGTTGGGAAATACATGTAACCAATGTAACTGTCCTAACAACAAGTGGGCAAATACATGTAACCTATGTAACTGTCCTAACAACAAATGGGCAAATACATGTAACTAAGGTAACTGTTTAAACAACAAATGGGGATAAACAACAAGTGGGTAAATACATGTTGGCGTTTATTTCGTTTAAACAACAAATGGGGATAAACAACAAGTGGGTAAATACATGTAACCAATGTAACTGTCCTAACAACAAGTGGGGAAATACATGTAACTTAGGTAACTTCCCTAACAACAATTTGGGAATTACATGTAACTAAGGTAACTGTACTTCTAACGACCGGGGAATATATGTGACCTTAGTACCAACCAGTTACTACACACACTTTGTGTGTCGCCTGCAACGCGAAGCGACATATATGTGTTACTTTGTCGGTGTCGTCGGTTGCGTCCTCCGAAACAAGGTTTCCTTGCGATAACTTGAGTTCCCGTGGATTGATTGAACTTAAACTTGGTATACATATTGCATACCAATATAGCTCGACGCGTTTTTAGTGGAGTTATGCCCCTTTTATTGCCAAATAAGGTCATTTTCTAGTAAATGCAAGAACTTTATATTTTTTAATAAATTACTTTTAAATTTTGAACGATAACGCTAGAAGCAATAAGGTTCAACATATATTACGGGTTTTTCTGTCGATTTTCAACTTTCCACGTTCTGGCGTATTGAAATGAACAGTTATGCAAGTTATTGAGTGTGTGTACGTACCAGTGGCGTTTATTTCCGGTGTCCTGTCGAGAGGTACGTGTGAACGTGTGGAGTATTGTCAGCTTAACGTGATTGTGTAAATAAACCATGTGTAATCAGTGTTCGGTTGCGTTGGTAGTTTTTACATAGCTTTTGGCATAGGCTGAAAGCGGTCGTAAGACCAGAAAGTTAGTGACGTCATAAAAAATTGGGATAACCTGATTTACCCCAGAATGGTTACTATTCGTACACATCATGACTTGTATAAGTACCCGCAGGACGGGGGTTATACAATTGGTGTTTATAAATCCTCCTAAAGATAACATACCTACAAACTCTTAACAAGCTATTTCCATAAGACCTTTGTTCATACTCCCTCACGCTGTCCTCTTACCTTCTTGTCCTTCGGAAGGGACGTTAAATGGGGGTCCGGTGTAAGGAGAGTCACGCCTTGCACGTTAAAAATCACTCTTCTGGCTTTCGAAAAAGAGTAGGCTAATTGCTAGCCGCCACGGAGTATAGGATATAAATTTAGACTAGTGTAGGGCTTTAAGTGACAGTCCAAATTGCAATCCCTAAATTATAGAAACTAGAACGTTAGGTTCCCATATCCTCCATTTTAGAGCTTTTTGGCAACACTCAAAAGGCGGAATTGCAA